AGCTGCAAGAAACCGATCCTGACGAGGCGGTCGTGAAGGTGCTGCTGCCACAGCCGCGGGGCTTGTTTGATTCCGTAGAGGGATTTTACCAGCTGGCACACTTTTGTGGGATCGTCGCTGAATCCGTGGGGCTGCTCGACGAAGATTTTGGCGTCCACAGGTGCGTACAGGAAGGCGTTGGTGACATCGATCTGGCGCAGTGGTAGCCTTTTCGTGGCCGCGACGGCGAGCAGAATGCACAGGGAGGCATGTCGGGAGACTGGGGCGAATGTCTCTGTATAGTCGGTTCCGTATCGCTGGTCGAAGCCTTGTACGACCCAGTGAGCCTTGAAGCGGTCGATGGAGCCATCCGCATTAGTCTTGATGCGGTACACCCATTTCCCCGAGTTCACATTCTTCCCGTTGGTTTTTGTTGCAGGTAGCAGCTTCCACGTATTTCGGTCTTACAAGGCCTTCAGTTCTTTTTCCATTGCTTCCTTCCAATTTGCCTTGTGTTCCCCCCCCAGAGCCTGCGATAGAGTCGTTGGCTCGCATGGTGACGGCGGCGGCGGGCTCTGGACGGCGACCCATAGTCCAAGTATCTGTAGGCCCGTGGGTGTGTGTTGAGGGGAGTTGTCATTCGTGGGATAAGCTGCTTCATCACCATCTTCGGGATCACGTAAGAAATTTGGTCCGATTCGTTCAGAGACATTTGTGTTGACCGGTTGAGGTGTAGCGTAACCCTAGTCAGCGAAGTGGTTATAGGTTTCGAGATTGTTACTATCGAGAGGATTGTCGTCGTCGAGTGGAACGAGCACAGAGCAGTAAGGGAGTGTTCCAGCAGCTTCTGAGGCTTCAGGTATGCTTTCTTCTGCTGCATCAGCTTCGGCAGCACAGTCGGCGAAGGACCGATGGCCCTCGAAGCCGTTGGTGGGGTCGTCTGTGTTGGCGATGTTGTCCAGGTAATATTGCAGCGTCAGTCGCTCGTAGAAAATCACATCACGTGAGGCCACGGTGGTTTTGTCCTGAATGTCGAGAAGTTTCCATGCTTGGAAATGTTTTGCGATGCCGAGGTGTAGTCCCCACCGTGCTCGTTGGGAGAATCGACCTGCTCGGGCTGTGTGGGGTCTGTACTGTACCATGCAGCCGAAGACTCAAAGTAATTTTGTGCTGCCCTGTTTTCCTGTCCACAGCAGGTGCGGTGATGCGCTGTTTGGAAGTGATGACGAGGACAGCAAATTGTGCAGGTGGACTGCATGCGTCATCGCGTCAGGCCAAAGCGTGTTGGGCAGTCTCATCCCCAGGAGCAGCTTCCGCATCGTCGTCTGCAAGGTTCTGTTCATCCTCTCTGCGACCCCCTACAGCTGGTGAGCGTAGGGCAGCGACACCAGGTGTCTGATGCCTCTTTCTGCCGAGTAGTTCCTGAATCGTTGTGACAGGTACTCCAGTGCTCCGTCTGGCTGAAAGCTTTTGAGTTGCGAGCCGGATTCGCGTTCAGCGATGGGGAGCCACGCTGTGAAGGCTTCGAACGCTTGATCTCGTGTCTTGAGGTTGGAGTGCCAGACGTATCGTGTTGCTGTGTCGATGAATGTGATGACATAGTTGTACTCTGCTTCAATGTCTTCTCGAGGCATATTTAAGATGTCGCTGTAGACCTTTTCCATCGGTGCGTATGCAGGTGCGCTTGGATTGTGGTTCGACGGAAAAGGTTGGTGGGGAAGATCAGCTTCAGGACACGTGAAGCATCGTGTGCAGGGTTATCGAAGCTCCTGGCCGCTCGTTGTGAGAACAACGTCCTTTTCTAATACTTCGGCTTGTATGGTTTGTAGTACTGTGCTGTTTGCATGGTGTCCGAGGCGTTGATGCCAGATGTCGTCGGGAGCGCGATGGCCGGGTGAGCGCTAGTACATGTCGGCGTTGGAGAAGAACGCGACGACCGTGGCGGGACTGCGGCAGACTCCTCGGGTGATGGGCATGAGTTGATCTGCTTGGGATGGTGGTCCTCGGATTGCTGGTGATGGCGCACGGTTGGGTCCTGCTGCTGCTACTGCAGGTGATGTCGGGTGAGGGACGCTTGCTGGTACTTGTCGTTCTTGTCGGATGACTGCTAATGCTCGTGCTCTCTCTGCTGCAGGGATGGTGTTGGAGTACCAGAATCCGTCTGGAGTGAAGTCGGGGTCAAGATCTGGCGGATGCGTCCAGGCGGCGAATGACACGATGCCGTCGTTGTCGGCAGTTCCGCAGTCGGGGACGAAGTCCAGCACGAAGACGCCCGACTTCAGGAGAGCGCGACCGATGAAGAGGCCGCCCTTCCCGTGGTAAAGTCGAAACTCATTGGCGTCCGAGTCGCATTCCAGGTGAATTCCCTTCGCCATTAACTGGCTGACGCTTAGTAGATTGTATCCCAAGTTGTCGACGATTAGAACTTTGTTGAGTTGTAGTATAACGTTTGTCTCCATTGACTGAAGTTGAACCACTCCTTGTCTATTTGTTTTCAGGTTCTCGTTGTTGGCGACGGTGATGATGACATCACGGTTGAGGCGTCGCTCTCGTTGCACGAAGCGCCCGGAAGAACACATGTGTTGGCCGCAGCAACTGTCCAAGAACCAGGTGTTTCGCCCAGTGGGTTCGGCGTTGGCAACTGCAGCATACGTGGGGTTGACTTGAAGACCTTGTGAGCGCGGCGGCGGCAGTTCTTCGTCTGGAGCGTAAGTGGGTGGTGACTCGGGTCTGCAGCTGTCGATCCGTACCATGCAGTTGATGATGTTTGGTGTGTCTCGTGCAGGTGTAGAGGAGCGGCTTGGCGGATTCTCTTGAGTGGAGGCGACTTGCGGATTTGCTGGACGATAAACTCGAGGGCGCGTCCAGTTAACCTTGGAGTGTCCGGATGTCTGACAATTGTGGCAGAACGGCGCACGATGGTGAGACCTCTGGTGTCATATCGATTTTGCTTGTCGCGTCAGTTATAGTTGTTGTCGTTTCTTCTTTGAGTGTAGAAGACTAATGGCTGCTGCTTGTTCCGTGGTTGTCTTTCTTCAAACAGGTCCATCTCCTGTTGTTTGGCATGAAGCTCGGCGCAGAGGTGCATCTCGGAAATTCATCCGTGGGCGCGAAGGAGCGAGCGGGTAGTTCTCCATTCTGGTCCGAGCCCGGCGAGAAGAAGTGTCACGAAGCTTTCTTCAGTGATTGTACCTCCGCACCGAAGCAGGCAGCCGCGGAGTGTCTGGCAGCGACTCATATACTACATCGCCTTTTCCCCGGTCTTCATTTGTATTGTTGTCTACCGCTGCATGAGTCTGCTTTGTGTCACACTGTCGTTTGCTTGATAGCGACACTTCAGATGATACCAGGCGAGCTCCGCGGAGTTTCCGTAGCTCCGATACGTTATGATGCTCCGTTGCTCTTGTGGTGACTGATTTCGCAGGAGGACTGTGTACGCCAGCAGGGACCGATAAGTGAAGATTTCCTTCTCCTTTGCAGTGCCATTACTTGGAAATGGCAGGGACCCGTTGAAGTATCCCAAGAGGTGCGCGGCCTCCATCAGCAGCTCGAACTCAAAGCTCCAGGTAAAGAAGTCGTGCCCGTTGAACGGTGAAGATGTCTGCAGTTTGATCTCATGTGAAAACTGCACCTGGAGACTCAATATCTCGTTTGGTGTCTGTTGTGATGCACCTGCTGTCGGTTGAGCACGGTGCGGCATGAACTCGAACGTCCCTGGTGAAGAGTGATAAGGTGCAAAGGTTGGCGCCTGATTGTGCCGCCCAAATGATGAGTTGTCGAGACTCATGGGTGCCAATCCCATATTTCCCCCGTTGCTCTGTGTTGAATGCGCAGGTGTCCTTGTCTGCTGCTGCTGGTCAAAGTGCGACATGAAGCTGAAGAACCTTTCCATAAGGTTTGGGTCCACGCCTGAAGAGGGTGAAGGGGTCACCATTTCTGGTACCCTTCCTGTTTTTTCTTGAGCTGCGCCAGTCTCTGTCTGTAGTCCTGAAGTATGTAGTCCAGAGTTGCCGGGTTGAGTGTCTTGGGCGCTGGGTGAGCCCGTAGAAGACTTCTTGCCCTTGTTGTCCATGACTTGTAATCGATGAATCTGTTGATGTGCTTGACTGTAGATAGAGCGTTGTTGCTGGGAGTTTGGTCTCTGACCAGCTCTCATACCATGTTGGGCTGAGAAAAGCCCTTAGGATCTTTCTAGAGACTAAGTCACACTTGTACAAGGTGTTTGAGTAGTGTAGCGGAAGTGTTGAGTAGTTGAACCCTTGCACTAGTATGTGAGAGCAAGTGATTTATTAAAAGAAGCAAGCATACTGGAATATATAGAAAATAGGAAATAGAGCAGTTGTAGAATACAGTTGAAGAAACGGTTATCGAGTCGCACAGCGACTCGATCGATGGTTCGGTTACCACCCTTGCAGTCGCAACGGTCAGTCGCAACCTCCGGTTGCAACCCTTCGAGTCCCTTCGTCCTTTCGTGTTGTTTCGTCCAATCTCCTCGTGTAACCTCTGTTGACTCGTGTACTCGATATGACTTTTCTTCGAGTGTAGTGTTACACTTCATAAACGCTTAAGTCTTCGAGGTGTTTCCAACACCTTGTTTGTACTTGTTTGACTGGTCTTTAGACCCTTGCCTCGGAGGCTGGACTAGTAGTGCCACCCTGAGCTGCTTGTCTCTCATCAGGCACTGTCCCTATCCAGTCTAGGGGGTGTGTCAAACATATCGTTGCATGTTATTATAGACTACACAGGGTTGTGTCTTAGAGAGTACAACCCACTAGGTTATATTCTCTTGTATGCCATGGTTCAATTCATTCGTTAACTTTGATAGGAAGGTGGTTGCGTATCGAATTTATGTGTAGCATGCCGTCTCACAAAGGGGTGTGCTAGACTGTATGTGGTAGATGAAGTGGTTCTGCGTTGATGCTGTAACTGAATGTTAACGGGTATACTACAAACGAGGAATTTGGTTTGACAGGGGGTGCATGAGAAATGCACTGCGGCACGTGCTACTCGACCACACCACACAAATCCGCTGGCCATGCGACGCGCCATATCAGACGGCCAGCAGCACGCAGTGCAGAAGGCGGCCTTAGCCGCCGTTGATGACGCGCCGTTGTGCGACCAGGGCTTCGCTCTGGTTCGCGGAGAGAAAGGCGAGAGGGGCCCGCGTGAGCCCGTGCCCGACGCCAATGGTGCGAAGCCGTCGCCACCTCCGGCGGATTCGAGCCAAGAAACTTCCGAAAAAGGCGCCACGGCGGATACGACTAGCATCGCGGCTTTAGACGCGTCTACGGACCGCGAACTGACAGGGGCAGGCGACGCAGCGTGTGAGACGGAGACGTGCGGTCCTGTGCAGGGCGGCGGTACGCTCGAAGAGAAAGCGGAGTCGGGGGAGGCGGGAAGCGCTAACGAAAGTAGCCGAATAGCGCTCGAGAAACCGGGGGAGGGGACGGCGGGTGGAGGGAAGGAGGGGGGTGGGGGAGTAAAGAACGTTGTGCGAGGCGGCAGCGACTATGGGGAGGTGACGGGGAAAGACGCGGGTATCGGTGGCAGTGACGGCGCGGGGGAGGGCGTGGTGGGCAAGGTGGGGGATGAGGGGAGGGCCGGGTTGGCGGGGGGGAAAGACGGCGAGGGGTTGGGGAGAGGGGGGGTGGAGGGGGGGGCAGAGGCGAAGCAGCAGGCGAGGGAGGGCGGGAGTGGCGGCGAGGCGCAGAATGCAGGGGCGCAGGGCGGGGCGGAGGGACGCGAGGGGGTGGCAGAGGGGCAGCAGGCGGCGGGGCGGGGGCGGCTGCGTGAGCTGGTGCGGCGGGCGGAGGTGCAGCGGCGGGTGATGGGGTACCTGGACGTGGGCAAAGAGGTGGCGCGCAGCGTCGAGCGCCAGCAGCTCTTGCACCGCCTGCAGCACGTGGTGCTGGCGCCAGGGGGCGCGGGGCAGGGGGCTGCGAAACAGGGGGGCGTGGGGCAGGGGGGCGCGGGGCTGGGATTTAAGGAGCACGCGGGCCATGGGGACAGGGAGCACGGAGGCGCTGCTGGCAACTCCCAGCCCCACCATGGCCCCGCGGCACCGCATGGGCCCAGCGTGGCACTGCATGGGGCCCACGTGGCACATCATGCAGAACAGCACGCCCTGACGGAGCGTGTGCCCCTGCACGACGCCCCCCGGCACCACGTGCTGGGCGCCGTGGCGCTGGGCGGCGGGCGGGTGCAGCAGCTGCAGGCGGAGGGGGGGGGTGGGGAGGGCATGGGGCGCGACGAGAGCACGAACAGCAACATGGGCGCGGCGGAGTGGCTGGAGGGGTGTCTGGAGGACGAGGAGGAGTGGCAGCGGTGGCGCATCGACCCGCAGCAGCTGGTGATCAAGGAGTTCATCGCGCGGGGGACTTATGGCTCCGTACACCGCGGGGAGTACAAGGGCAAACAGGTCGCAGGTGAGGGCAAGCCGGTGGCAGGTAGGGAAGAAGGAGAGGGTGGTCTGGCGGCTACTGTTGTAGTGGGGCCTTAAGTTGCGCCACTCTCATGACAGACCTGGGTGGCTGCACCCCTCACGCTCACTTCTCCCATCTCTCACTCTGCGGCTGAATGCATGCATGGGTGCATGGCTGCATCGTTGCATGCATGGGTGCATGGCTGCATCGTTGCATGCATGGGTGCATGACTGCATCGTTGCATGCATGGGTGCATGACTGCATCGTTGCATGCATGGGTGCATGACTGCATCGTTGCATGCATGGGTGCATGACTCCATCGTTGCATGCATGGGTGCATGACTCCATCGTTGCATGCATGGGTGCATGACTGCATCGTTGCATGCATGGGTGCATGACTGCATCGTTGCATGCATGGGTGCATGACTGCATCGTTGCATGCATGGGTGCGTGACTGCATCGTTGCATGCATGGGTGCATGACTGCATCGTTGCATGCATGGGTGCATGACTGCATCGTTGCATGCATGGGTGCATGACTGCATCGTTGCATGCATGGGTGCATGGCTGCATCGTTGCATGCATGGGTGCATGGCTGCATCGTTGCATGCATGGGTGCATGGCTGCATCGTTGCATGCATGGGTGCATGACTGCATCGTTGCATGCATGGGTGCATGACTCCATCGTTGCATGCATGGGTGCATGACTGCATCGTTGCATGCATGGGTGCATGACTGCATCGTTGCATGCATGGGTGCATGACTGCATCATTGCATGCATGGGTGCATGACTCCATCGTTGCATGCATGGGTGCATGACTCCATCGTTGCATGCATGGGTGCATGACTGCATCGTTGCATGCATGGGTGCATGACTGCATCGTTGCATGCATGGGTGCATGACTGCATCGTTGCATGCATGGGTGCGTGACTGCATCGTTGCATGCATGGGTGCATGACTGCATCGTTGCATGCATGGGTGCATGACTGCATCGTTGCATGCATGGGTGCATGACTGCATCGTTGCATGCATGGGTGCATGGCTGCATCGTTGCATGCATGGGTGCATGGCTGCATCGTTGCATGCATGGGTGCATGGCTGCATCGTTGCATGCATGGGTGCATGACTGCATCGTTGCATGCATGGGTGCATGACTCCATCGTTGCATGCATGGGTGCATGACTGCATCGTTGCATGCATGGGTGCATGACTGCATCGTTGCATGCATGGGTGCATGACTGCATCATTGCATGCATGGGTGCATGACTCCATCGTTGCATGCATGGGTGCATGACTGCATCGTTGCATGCATGGGTGCATGACTGCATCGTTGCATGCATGGGTGCATGACTGCATAGTTGCATGCATGGGTGCATGACTCCATCGTTGCATGCATGGGTGCATGACTGCATCGTTGCATGCATGGGTGCATGACTGCATCATTGCATGCATGGGTGCATGACTGCATCGTTGCATGCATGGGTGCATGACTGCATCGTTGCATGCATGGGTGCATGACTGCATCGTTGCATGCATGGGTGCACGGGCGGCAGTGAAGCTGATGGATTGGGGCGAGGTGGACAAGGCGTCGCGCGCCAAGCTCACGTTCCTCAGAGACGTGTTTGCGCAGGAGGTGCTTGTTTGGAGCACGCTGCAGCACAAGAACATCTGCCAGGTGCGAGGCACACTGCAGCACATGCAATTCCCCGTGCGCCGTGCCACGCACGTCACCATCATTCTCTCTTGGACATTGCTCTGCTACTTGCTGCGAAAGCATTCTATTGCCAAGTTGATCCTGCTCCCACCCCTGCCTCCCACCCCTGCCTACCGCCCCTGCCTCCCTCCCCGCATGCATGTGGCCACTGTAGTTCGTGGGCGCGCTGCTGGGTGGGCCAGACTCGTACTGCTTGCCGTCCACGGTGGAGGACCACAGGGGCGTGCTGCGCGTGGGCAGCCACGTGTGCTGCGTGGTGCTGGAGTACCTGGCGGGTGGCACGCTCAAGCACGTGCTCATCAAGCACTACCACCGCAAGCTCTCCGTGCAGCGCGTCGTGCACATCGCTCTGGACATCGCTGAGGGGTAATGGCGCGTCATGGAGCCATGGGGGGTGATGGGATGGGGGTTGATGGAGGAAGAAGATGGGATGGTGGGGGTTGATGGGGGTGATGGGATGGTGCATTGATTGTAGTGGCTTGGTCAGGTGCATCATTGCGGTAGTGAGGTGGGCCATTGCAAACACTGCTTCTCGTTCCGCATTGTTTCAAATGCCGCTGTGATATTCTCTCTTCTCTCTCATGCCTCTGTGCTGCTGCCTCTCTCTACTTCCTGCCCGCGCGCCACAGGTTGGAGTACCTGCACTCTCGGGGCATCGTGCACCGAGATGTCAAGTCCGACAACATGCTGCTGGACAAGCACCACAGGTGACAAGCACCACAGGTGACAAGCAGCACAGGTGACAAGCACCACAGGTGACAAGCACCACAGGTGACAAGCACCACAGGTGACAAGCACCACAGGTGACAAGCACCACAGGTGACAAGCACCACAGGTGACAAGCACCACAGGTGACAAGCACCACATCTCTGCCAGCGCCCTCATCTCTGCCAGCGCCCTCACCTCACCGGATCGCCCATCGCTCCTGTGATGCCTGTCCTGCTGCTCACTGGCTCACCCCCCTCTGTGTTCTCCCCGCGCACGCCCCTCCCCGCGCGTCCATGCGTTCTCCCTTCTCCACTGCCCCCCCGCCCCCCCTTGCGTGTCACTGGCCACCTCCGTCCAGGGTGGTGAAGATAGCTGATTTCGGGGTGTCGCGGGTGCAGTCGGAGGACAGCACCATGCACCACAAGACTGGCACCTACGGCTACATGGCACCCGAGGTGTGCCAAGGGGGGTCACAGCCGTGCATGCATGGCGCCACATGTGTGGCTACTTGGAGTGAGAGGTGCACGGCTCATAGAGGTGTCTTGGCAATGGCGGTGCAGTCTCAACAGCATAGCACTTGTGTGGGAGCCTGATTTCCAGCGGTGCATGTTGATCCGATAGTCGCCCGTGGACCACCATTTATCTGCTATCTGCCACCCTTGCATGGCCGTCACCTTCCTCTCCGTGCATGGCCGTCACCTTCCTCTCCGTGCATGGCCATCACCTTCCTCTCCGTGCATGGCCGTCACCTTCCTCTCCGTGCATGCCCGTCACCTTCCTCTCCGTGCATGGCCATCACCTTCCTCTCCGTGCATGGCCGTCACCTTCCTCTCCGTGCATGGCCGTCACCTTCCTCTCCGTGCATGACCATCACCTTCCTCTCGTATTGTTTTATGCTCCTTGCCGTTTCTCTTCCCCCCCCCTTTTTTCTATGTCCTGCTCCTGCGTCCTGCCGCTCCCCGCATGTCCGTCAGGTGTTGAAGGAGCGGCCGTACGACCACAAGGCGGACGTGTACAGCTTTGGCATCCTGCTGTGGGAGGTGTACTGCTGCGACAACCCCTTCCCCTACACCGACCTCGACCCCGACGAGATCGCCTCCACGGTGAACCAGGTGGGGGCGCATCTGTCAGATATGCAGTAAGTTTCACACCAGAGAACCAGGGGTTGCTGTAAAAGGGTGGTTGAGAACGGAAACTGGTCATTGAGAGACATAGGTGTTTCTACTTAGCTGGTTTTATGTGACTAGGGATGTGATAGACACGTGGCCCATCTTTATTGCATATGCTCAACACATAGCCCATGTGCAATCATTGAATCGAACCAGCTCCTGTGGCTTTGCCCACTGTGCCAGAAGGGCCCTCCCATGCGGCACATTTACCTGCTGCCGCTTGTCTCATCTGGATGGATCACCTGCCCACATCTCATTGCCTCAATTCATACTTTGTTGCCCCTCTCCCTCCACCGTGCCCCCTGTGTCCCATGGCAGGGCTTGCGGCCGGACATCCCGTCGTGCTGCCCGCCGCAGCTGGCGGACTTGATGAGGCGGTGCTGGCACCGGGAGCCCGGCAGACGGCCCGACATGAGCGAGGTGGTGCGCAAGCTCAAGGCCTTCGACTGCCGCCACGCCACGCCCATGCGCCCCGTGGAGGACGAGTCGTCGTGTGCGGTCATGTGAAGATAGGAGGTCATGTGAAGATAGGTCATGTGAAGATACGAGGTCATGTGAAGATAGGTCACTGTCAATACCGGCGGTGTTAGTGCGATGCTGGCCATAGGGACCTCACGTACACTCCACGCACGTGCCGCCCTTGGAAGACGGGGCGTTGTGTGCGCTCCTGTGAATATAGAGGGCACTTGCACGTTTGCCATGCATGCGAGGGCGAGGGGGCAGATCTCCGGACATAATTCCAGTGAGCGCATTTAGAAAGGCGGTTTAACAAGTAGGAAAGAGTTGTAAAAACGCTATGCTTATGCTACCTACCAATAGTTTTAGGAAAGCAGGAGCTCTTCTCTTAACAGCAAAGTTAACATGGGACAAACATGTTTCCGCTTGTAGGGAAATCCCTAGCGAGCCTTCATCAGTGCCAACGAGAAAGTGTGAGCAAAGCAAAGCCCCCAAAGTACCGTATTGTCAACTTATACATATTAGCTATGTAGAAGTTATAGGCTAGACTGAGGTATGCTTCTAGTGAGTACAACCAACTAGTACTTGTTCTAGGCTTTCACTTCTAGTCGATCATTCAGTTCTTACTTTAACATGGTATCACGCGTAGGTTAGAATCCCCCACCTACCGCTTCCGCCCGTACCCTAGCTAGGCCCCGTCGCGCCTCCTAGCCCTGTCGCGCCTCCTAGCCCCGTCGCGCCCCTCCTGGGCCCCGTCGCGCCTCCTGGCCCCGTCGCGCCCCTCCTGGGCCCCTTCGCGCCTCCTAGCCCCGTCGCGCCCCTCCTGGGACCCGTCGCGCTTCCTAGCCCCGTCTCGCCCCTCCTGGGCCCCGTTGTGCCTCCTAGCCCCGTCGCGCCTCCTAGCCCCGTCGCGCCCCTCCTGGGCCCCGTCGCGCCTCCTAGCCCCGTCGCACCCCTCCTGGGCCCCGTTGTGCCTCCTAGCCCCGTCGCGCCTCCTAGCCCCGTCGCGCCCCTCCTGGGCCCCGACGCGCCTCCTAGCGCCCCTCCTGGGCCCCGTCGCGCCTTCTAGCTCTGTCGCGCCCCTCCTGGGCCCCGTCGCGCCTGCCTGGCCCGTCCGCGCCTGCCTGGCCCCGCCGCGCCTGCCTGGCCCCGTCGCGCGTGCCTGCCCCCTCCGCGCCTGCCTGGCCCTGCCGCGCCTGCCTGGCCTCGCCGCGCCTGCCTGGCCCCGCCGCGCCTGCCTGACCCCACCGCGCCTGCCTAGCCCCGCCGCACCTACCTGGCCCCTCCGCACATGCCTGGCCACGCCGCGCCTGCCTAGCCCCGCCGCGCCTGCTTGGCCCCGTCGCGCCTGCCTGGCCCTGCCGCGCCTGCCTGGCCCCGCCGCGCCTGCCTGGCCCACCGCGCCTGCCTGGCCCCGCCGCACCTGCCTGGCCCCTCCGCGCCTGCCTGGCCCCGCCGCGCCTCCATGGCCCCGCCGCGCCTGCCTGGCCCCGCCGTGCCTCCATGGCCCCGCCGCGCCTGCTTGGCCCCTCCACGCCTGCCTAGCCCCGCCGCGTCTGCCTGGCCTCTCCCACTGCCCGCCCGGCCCATCTTCGTGCCTGCTCGTCTTGCCGTGCTACCTCGGGCTCCGTCTACTCTGCTCGCCAGTGCTAGGTCGCCTCGCGGCCGCCGTGCTGGAGAGTGCTGCCGCCGTGTCCCTGCGTCGCTGTGTTCCTGTGGAGCTGTGCCACTGACCCTGCACGATGGCTGACTTCGTGCTCCGACAAGATGCCGAGGGCCATGCGGTTGACTTCGCCGCCTGGCTCTCCGATCTCCGCCGCCACCTTACAGGTCAGCGCCAGGATGGCCACTCGCTGGTTGTCCATGTCAACGGCTTGCTCCCCCGCCCCCCCGCACCTGCTCCCCTCCCTGCTGACCCCTCCTCTGATGACCGAGAGATATTCTCTACTGCTATGCTTTCTCATGCGGTCTCTGGGATTCCCGCGATACAGTCGCTCAGGTTGCTATTAGCCACGCCCTCCCTGTGTCTGAGCGCTCGCGCTTTGCTACTATTGAGACGGCCAAAGCTTACTTAGACGCCGTTATTGCTCGCTATTCCACACCCGCGTCTGCTTTTGCTGGCCGCCTGCTCTTCCCTATGCTTTTCCCAGACCTTGCAGCCTTCCCTACCGTCGCAGACTTTGCCACTCACCTGCGTGCCCTAGAGACCCGCTATCGCACTGCCAGCACTGCTGCCCAGCTCACTGCGCTCCCCCCCCTTTCTGCATGACGCTCTATTTTATCGCCATGCGCCTGCCTGACCGCCTCGCTAGTGCTCGCGATCACTTCCTTAGCCAGCACCCGGGTGACCTCACCCTCACCGCCATTGTCGATACCCTCACCGAGATCGAGACTCGCCAGCGCACTATCGCTCAGTCGAGCGGTGCGCCAGCAGTCCCTATCTTTCACGGCTGTGCCCCCTCCCAGTGCACGTTCACTGACGTTTCGGCTGCGGTCGTCACGGCGACCCCTCTCACCGAGACGGCTGCTGTGGTCCACCCGCAGTAGCGCTCGCGCCGCGGTGGCCGTGGTCGCCAGGGAGGTAGGGGTGGTGGCGCAAGTGGTGGTGGTGGTGGTGGTGGTGACGGTAGTCCGCCTGCGGGGACTACCACTGGTGGGCAGGAGCAGCAGCCCCAGCCGCAGCAGGAGCAGCCCCAGCCGCAGCCGCCACCCCAGCAGCAGCCACCTTCTCAGCAGCATTCGCCGCAGCCGTGGTCTCGTCTCCCGCCTGGCTGGCCCGGCACCTCCGGAGGTAGTGGCCGTGGTGGCGGCCCGCGCAGCTTGGCGTCTACCGGCGGCTCCAGTGCCATCACCTGCCAGTACCAGCTTCAGTCCGAGCCTCTTCGCGGCACTCTGTGCCGCCGCCCGCACCCGACTGACCGCTGTTTCCGCCGCCTCGACGATCTTTTTCGTCGTCGTTTTGGCCCGGCCCCGGAGCTCCCCGACTGGCACAGCCTGCTCCACCAGGGCGTGCCGATCTTTGAGTTAGACATGGATCAGATAGGTGCTGCCTTGCATGCTTTGTATTCTGATGCTCCTAGTGTTGCTGGATCTTATTACCCTGTGTACTCTAGTTTAGGTGTTGCACCATTGTGTAGCTTAGCCTCCCCTGCTGCGTCAGGCATAGGACTGCCTAGCTTGCCTAGTCTAGTCACTGCACCGGCTCCGTCCCCGGCCTCCGCCACTGCGTCGCTGTCCTTCACTCTCAACTCCGGTGCTTCTACCTGCTTCTTCGCGACCGTTCCATGCTCACGCCGCTTGCTGCGCCTGCTGTTGTCTCTCTCGCTGACCCCTCTGCGGGTTCTGTCGTATGTCCCTTCCCTGTCCAGCAGTTCCCTCGGGCTCCGTTACAGGCCTCCACGTTCCCTCGTTCTCGAGGAACCTGGTTGGTGTCGGCTGTCTCCAGGACCTAGGCGTCACCACCACGTTCCCCGGGAACGAGCGGTTCGCTGTCTGTTCTGAGGCTGTCTCAGGTTCCCCCCTTGCAACGTTCCCCCGGGACCCGGTGTCCGGTCTGTTTACCCTAGACACCGCTTCCCCCCCGGTTGGTGCGTCCTCCCAGGTCGCTGCAGCTTGCTCGTGTCGGTCCCTCACTCACCCGTCCCTTCTTTGGCACCATCGCTTAGGTCACCATACTCTCCCGCGTCTGTGTCACATGTCCCAGCACGGTCTTGTCTTAGGTCTCCCCGCGTCGCTCCCTGCCCTTCCTCCCTCGACTGCGCCACCGTGCACGCCTTGCGTCAAGGGTCGGCTCCGCCATGCTCCTCACTCCTCCTCGCTGCGCCCTGCTACTGCCCCCCTTCAGACCCTGCACCTGGACGTTTGGGGCCCTGCCCCCGTCCCCGGACCGCGCGGTGAGCGCTACTTTATTGTGCTCGTTGACGACTACACGCGCTACACCACGGTGTTTCCCCTGGATTAGAAGCCCGACGTGCCCGACGTTCTTTTCCCGTGGGTTGTGGCTGCACGTCTCCACCGCGGTCTCCCCGTGTTGTGTCTCCACTCTGACCGTGGCGGCGAGTTCGCCTCTGGTCGGCTTGGACAGTTCTGTCGTGCGGAGGGCATCACCCAGTCGTACACCTTGCCGGACTCCCCACAGCAGAATGGGGTTGCTGAGCGCCGCATCGGCTTGGTCATGGAGGTCGCCCGTACCTCCATGATTCATGCCGATGCCCCCCATTTTCTTTGGCCGTTTGCTGTTCGCTACGCTGCTCACCAGCTTAACTTGTGGCCACGCTCCCAGTGGCCGCAGGTTTCGCCGACCCTCCTTTGGACCGGGTCCCCCAGTGACGCGTCTGCGTTCCACGTCTGGGGCTGCCTTGCTCACGTTCATGCCTCTGGCACGGACAAGCTCACTGCCCGCACTATCCCCTGTGTCTTCCTCGGTTTTCCCCTGGACTCGTCTGACTGGCTTTTGTACCACCCGCGGTCTCACCGCTTCCTCCACTCTCGTGATGTCACCTTTGACGAGTCTGTCTCCTTCTACCGCGGCTTCCCTCACCGAGGTCTCCCGGTTGCCCCGCCCCTGTTCCTGGCTCCCTCTCCCCCGGTAGCCCCTGCTCCTCTGCTGCCTCGTCCTGCCCCGTCTGGTGTCTCTCACATCACTCCCCTCCCATCGGTTGTCCCCGTTGAGGAGTCTGCTGACTCTGGTGGTCCCCCCAGCCCGTCCCTGCCGCGTCCCCCTTCCCCGGTGTCTTCGCCTTCCCTGCCACAGTCGCCGTCGCCGCCGCCGCCGCCGCCGCCGCCGTCGCAATCGCAGTCACCGCCACCGCGGCAACCGCCATCGCCGCCGCCGCCACTGCCGCCGTTGGCCTTTGAGGGTGCTGGCGTTGAGGAGGGTGTTCGTCCTGTGGCTCCCGGGGGTGCCGCTGGTGTTGGAGGGGGTTCTTGCTCTGGGGGTGTTGGTTCTGGGAGTGCTGCTGTTGAGGGCTCCGTCGACGGTCGTCCTGCCTCTGCCGGTCCGAGGGTTCCGGCCCAGCTGTCGCAGCAGCCGCAGCAGCCGTCGCCGCCGGTCTCCGCTCTCCGCCTACTCGGCCTTCCCTCCCCGGACCGCGCGGTCCTGTGTTCCCGCCGCCGGACTCGTCTCCGGCCCGTCTTCCTCCTCGTTCCCCTCCTGTGTCCCCTCCGCTGCCCCCTGACCCTACACCTCCGTCTCACGTTTGGGCTCGCCGTCCCTCCCGTGCTCGTCCCGTCTCTCCTGTCCTGCCCACCCACCCTATGTTGCTTCGTTCCCGCTCGTCTCGTCCTCCCCTCCTCCCGTCCCCTCCTCCCTCGGCCCTTGCTGTTGCACCTCCTCCGTTCTTTGACTACCTCCGTGCCGCTCGTCCCCTTGTCCCTCGGGTCCTTGCCTCTCTTGTTACCGACCCTG